ATCATCATCAAAGAGAAAAAAAAAAAGGTTTTAATTTTATAAGTAAATTCAAAAAGTAAATAAACAAACCTCCTGATCCTAACAAAGCTGTAGCAACACCAGAAACAAATCGCACGGCTTTCGGTTCAATTCGCAAGAATTGGAAGTCGCCAAAGTCAACCTTGACCATAGCCAAGTCAATAAGTCAACATAAAAAAGTCAAATGAGGTAATTAATGTATTAGGTTATGAAAGTTTACCCAAAATGCATCAGGGTGTCTTTCTAAGTATGCAGTGCGTATAGCACCTCTTTCCTCATTAGGAACCTTTAAATTTGTATAAGATATATGAAATTATGAATGTTAATAATGAATTTAGTAAAAGGAATTATAAAATTTTGAGAAAGTGGGGGCTTACAGAAACAGTATCACCATGTATGGTTATAACTAAATCTGTTCTATCTTCTGGATCTTTAGCCACAAGCAATGAGCATTTAGGGTTAGCTATGAGATCCTGCAAAAAGCAGCTAACATCAATCATGTGAAGGGGAATATTCATTGTATCTGTAGGAGTTTAAATTTGAGTCATTTTTGAAAACCTTGGTATGAACTGCTAAACTGCTGACTGCTAATATGGGGAATCCATTGGCATCACATGCAAAATCAACCATTGATCCTGATGGATAGCCATCATGTTTCTGCAAAATCAACCATTGATCCATACATGTATGTAAAACAGGATGTTCTACAAAAGATCATATCTAACAAATTTGGAATTATAATGGCAGGACCTGGGAAAAGGTGGAAAGGACTCCACGCATGCTGTAATGAAGGAGAGTTTTGACCTCTTCAATGGGAGGAAGTCTAGCAGCTTTTTCCTTCAATGGCAAATGAAACGCATATTAAACAAACAGACACACAGTTGTATTTTTTGAAAAAATGAATAGAAATGGAAGAGACATATACACGAAATTGTTTCATAGGAGATTAGGAGTACCTGATGAGCTTTAATGAGTTGAAAGACGTCAGCAGTAGAATCACCAGATGAAGCACTCTGACAAATCAAACAGCAATGACAATCATAGTTAGGAAAACTGATCGTAAATCTCACTCGTTTCATTTATACACAACATCGAAACTTCCAATGTGATACAATTTTTTCATATGGAGGATGCAAAAAATTATTATCAAGTCAACCAGTAAAATGAAAAAGAATATAAATATGATGAAGCTAATCAAGATGTATGTGAATCGAAACCTGCGAAGGGGCTTGAGTGGATGAAGCCATGGCGGAGATAGGATGAAGATGGCGGCGATTGGTGGAGGTTGCGGAGAAGAGGGAGAGAGATTTGGAGTGAGGAAAAAGTTGTGGCGTGATTCCGCAGCTGCTACTAATTCGGCCATTTTTGTTGATCAATAATCGATTAGAATCAAAAGTATGAACGAGTGAAGTTGTTGAGGAGATTGAGCATCGAAGAGTGGAAGGTGCCACCAGAATCTTCATCTTCCCCAATTCTCTCCCTCACACACTTCCCGTTCCTTTTCTTTTTTTATCAATAATATCTTCTTAAAATAATAAAATTGAAGGAAAACTGTAAACGTTTAATAACACAAAAATCTTATTAAGTTATTTTTGCGTTTTATATAGGGAAAATGATTCTTGAGGGTAATTAACTTTTGAGTTTGTACTCATTTGGTCTCTTTTTTTTTTTTTTGTATTCAGTATACCATCGAACTTGTTGTTAGTGTTTACCATAGCCCTTTTGATCGGCTTTTGATCTGTGATAGCCGGTCAAAGGGTTATGGTGAACACAAACAACAAGTTCGATGGTATATTGAGTACAAAAAAAAGGAAAGGGACCAAATGAGAACAAACGCAACAGTTGGTTACCCTCCTGATTCATTTTCTCTTTACTCATTTACAACAAATCTCACATCATCTCCTACTAATATTAATGACTTTATGAGATTTATTCTTGCTTCTCTTCAAAACATAACCTACGAAATGACATTATTCATACATGTACAACTTTGTAATACACTTGAATATTTATTAGGGGAATCTTGAATAAGTAGGCGCATTTCATGACTACATTTACATTTGCAATCAAATGATTTATCGTATCATGGATTCTAGACAAGTCTACAAACGAGTGGAATCACAAGTGCTGTGATTTTGGAGTTTACTTAGCTTTAAGATCGAACTCATGGGATAAGATACAACATCAATATGTACAATATCATGCTGTTTTTGTAGACACATCACCATAATATTGTACATATTGATGTTTTATCTTATCCCATGAGTTTGATCTTAAAGCTAAGTAAACTCCAAAATCACAGCACTTGTGATTCCACTCGTTTGTAGACTTGTCTAGAATCCATGATACGATAAATCATTTGATTGGAAATGTAAATGTAGTCATGAAATGCGTCTGCTTAGTCAAGATTCCCCTAATAAATATTCAAGTGCATTACAAAGTTGTACATGTATGAATAATGTCCTTTTGTAGGTTATGTTTTGAAGAGAAGCAAGAATGAATCTCATAAAGTCATTAATATTAGTAGGAGATGATGTGGGATTTGTTGTAAATGAGTAAAGAGAAAATGAATCAGGAGGGTAACCAACTGTTGCGTTTGTTCTCATTTGGTCCCTTTCCTTTTTTTTGTACTCAATATACCATCGAACTTGTTGTTTGTGTTCACCATAACCCTTTGACCGGCTATCACAGGTCAAAAGCCGGTCAAAAGGGCTATGGTAAACACCAACAACAAGTTCGATGGTATATTGAATACAAAAAATAGAAAAGAGACCAAATGAGTACAAACGCAAAAGTTAATTACCCTCAAGAGTCATTTTCCCATTTTTTTTTGTCATAAAAAACAATATCATATATTTTTTCCATCCTAATCTTTCTTCCCCACAACACAATATAAAATTATATGCATACAATCTCACCTTTAAATTGATACTTGGTGTGTCTTTTCAGGGAAAATGACTTAGGAAGATAATTAATTGTTGTCTTAGTACTCATTTGATCACTTTTATTTTATTTATTTATTTATTATTATTATTTTTTTTATCTTATTTACCATTGAACTTGTTGTAGGTGTTCACAGGAACCAATGAAACCGACTATTGAAGGTTTCCAACAATTTTTTTATCTCCGGTAACTCTCTTATCGTCTTCTCCGACGAGCCTCCGACAAAAATGAGTTTTTCAAACGAACTTTTCTCAAATTCACGAATGAAATTCAATTAAAACTCTTGTTTCCCTAATCATCCTCAACACTTCCTTCATCACCAGTCGATTCTCAGGCGCAATCAAGACACATGCCATGACGTTTAGAAGTGCCATGAGTTTCTCCTCTGCCGCCTCGTTGCTGGAGGAAGTGTCTAGTATTTCGGATAGTCTAATAAAAAGACGGAAAAATAACTTATGAGGGTAATTAACTATTGCCTTTGTACTCATTTGGTCACTTTCCTTCCTTTTTTATTTTTTTATTTTTTATTTTTTATTTTTTTGTATCTCATTTACCATTGAACTTGTTGTAGGTGTTCACAAAAACCATTGAAACCAGCTATTAGAGGTTTCCGACAATTTCTTATCTCCAACAACTCTCCGGTCGTCTTCTCCGACGAGCCTCCGACAAAAATGAATATAATTATTTTACAGGTCAAGAACATCGGCCGATGGAAAACCTCTTTATTGGACATTGTGCTTAAAGATCGCTAAAATATCCAAAATTAAACTACTATACACCATAAATTTTTTTTGGACAAAAATCACATAATTTTGACAACAATGTGAATTGTTGTACACGTCGGTAAGCCGCTTCCATCAACCAGTGGGAAGATTGTCGGTAGTGATATTAACTTATATGATTTTAACTTAGGGAAATTGTCAGAAAAGTTCTAATATTTACGGAAAAGTTACATTTTAGTTCCAAGATATTTTTTTGAACGAAAAAAAATCCTAAAAACCTGCAAAAATTTACATTTTTATCGTTTTTGACCGGTTGAAACCGGTACAAATTAATTTGAGACTATTTCGTAAACTAACCTAAAATTTTGAGACTTTTCTGTAAACAAAACTATTATGACTTTTCTGTAAACGAAACCACTATTACTATTACTATTAGTATTATTAAAAATATAAATAAGAATATTATTTTTTGAACTTGTTAATTTTAATATTGTTAATAATACATATAAATGCATTTAAATGAAAATAATAATATTAATAACATTGTTTAAGGGGTGGAGGTGGATGTGAAGGCCATGATATTTTTAACATTAAAATCATGAATGTGTGTTTGTATAATTTTACTTTGTATATGGTCATTTCATATTTGTTATTATTGTTTTTAATTCAGAATATTAATAAATTATATATTTGTAAAGTTGTTTATAAATAATTTAAAGTAGAAAAATATTTTATTTTATATATAAAATTGTTTAAGATAGAAACATTATATTTCAAATCCAACACATCCATTGCAAACATCTATATCAAGGATTAATTACAATTTTTTTTTTTTTTTTTTTTTTTTTTTTTTTTTTTTTTTTTTTTATAAAACCATAATAAGAATCATTAAAAGTATTGATTAAAACTCAAAGGTTGAGTTAGCTGAGCCCCTTAACAAATAAGAACTGCCGCTGCCCATTCTTAACTTATACAGCGTCAGCTCCGCACCACCTCAATGCCTGCTTAAGCTTAGTCACCCTCTCTTTTCCCACACCTTTTCCCTGTGCCGCCACCTCATGCTTCGTTTTGCGGCCCAAAATCGCCGACTCATGGTTCCATTTATTTGGGTTGGATGTATTATGTAGGATTAGATTGTTGTATCTTTTATTCTATTACCACGTCTCTAAGCAAAAGCTCGCTCACTGGTTCATACGAAGTGTCTCACTCTCACCATATGAGTATAGAAAATTTTAATTCTTTTTAATTAATCACAAACTATATATAAACATTAAATAGAATCGAGCGAGAAAGTTAATTATCCAAACAAAATTACACCACAGCACCACTCTATGATTGTTCTTGTATCGTATGAACCGAGAATAAAACACTAATCTACTGTAACTTTTAACAAAGTCTTTATTCAACAAATCAAAAACTTGTAGGATCACTTCAAACGTACCAAATTTGATAGAAAAAGCAACGTATTCATCAACATCTCTCGCGTCAACTGGATTTCAAGAGATGCTCGTTTGCAACACTCATAATGGCGAGAAGAGGCTCATTGGTGACAACACAAGCATTAGCAGCAGCCTCTTCTTTAACCTCGTATTCAACCGACAATTTTACAAGACAAGACAAACCTGTGTCATCATTTGGATTCTCTTTGATCTCGATCTTGATCCTGTAAAAAGTAAATCCCATATCCAGAAATGCTCCTTCCACCACTTCACCCTCCTTAACCATGTTCTGGTTATCGATTTTCGTAAATTTCTCTTTGTAATACTTGGTGTCTGACCCTGAAAATATCACTTCATCTTATTAATAATTTATTTATTTGCTAAAAGTGATCAACTTTTTAGATGATTGGGACGTTTACCGCGTTTTACAGTGACCTTGAGAATCGTCCCAACGCCACCGTCGCCTTCAACAACATCAATCGCCTCAAGAACTTTTCCGGCGGCCACCTTTGCGAGCTCGAGGGTGCCGTAGAGCTTCCAGGCTTTGCTTGCCGGCACCTTCACTTCTGTCTCTTCCGATAAGGTTCCAAACATTTTTATATGCTGCTTGGTGACAAATGCTCATCGGAGTTTGAATTTATACAGAAAGAAAGAAAAATTAAGTGGAATAAATTTGTTTTGTTTTTGTTTTCCAAGGATTCCTAACTGTATAAATTGTCTTTTTATGTTTTTCAAATTCGTTGTGGGACTGGCTTTCTTTTGTTTACTCTTTTTTTCTAAGGACGTTGGAGAATATTGATCAATTTGGTGAATATTTTCACATGTGAAAAATCTTGAAGTGATCAAAAGTGATATAATGGATAATGTGATGGATCAACTAATCGGACTAATTGGGATGGATCCGGTTAAAGAGTAAATTGCAAAATGATATATGTGGTTTGTTTAAAATTTCAGGTATAGTACAACCTTTGAAAAGTTGATATAGTTTAAAAAATTTACAGCATCCATCCCTCCATTTAAAGAGACTATTTTGCACTTTTATATCTATGAAAATGACTTATAAGTGTAAGTTTGTTTGAAAAACATTCAAAAATTACCATCAAAGTTTGACATGTTTAAAAAATATCATTCAAGTAAGAGCTTTGTACAAAAAAAAAAAAAAAAACCATTGAAATTTATGTTTTGTTCAAGTATCACCGAGTGGTAACCTGTACTTGTAGATTAATTGTTGACCCGGCTTAATAATTGCTCACTTGGCTTAATAAGGGAGAGTAATGTTGTGAGGAGAGCATTGAGTTTTAAAATGTTGACATGTAGGGAGAAGGAGTACATGCTGGCTAGGAGTACGCTCTCACAAAACCTCTCTTTACCATTTATTGGTCTCCTAAAAAAAGTTTACAGATCATGAAGTAGATTTGGTGTAATTTTGTGTTTTTGCTTTAAATTTTGACAGTCATAGACACTTTGCTTTAAAGCTTTTGTGCCTTAAAAACCCATGGACAAATGAATTATTGAATATGAGAAGCCAATATGATAATCTTCTTTCTCTTTTATCGACGATAAAATAAATTGTTGAATATGGGAAGCCAATAAAATAATCTTCTTTCTCTCTTCTCGATGATCAGGTCGTTCCAGAGGCTGGACGATATGGGAGACCGTCCAGGACTTATCTTTTAAAGGGAAAAATTTTATGGACATTATTAATTATATGTTAGACAATATCGCTCTTGAAGATTTCATTAGCAATTTTGCATCTCAAAAAACTAGAAGAAATATTTTTCTTTAAATATATGGATTTTTATAATCGAAAATGTTATATTTAAAAGTTAGTATAAATAATTTTCTTTTAGTTATTGAATTATTATAAAAGAGTTATTGAAATTTGTGTAAGGATCTTTTTTTTCTCTTTCGTCCTAACCCAAATATGTTTGGAACGACCTAATATGCTTTCATATGACCAAACAAGATCTAAAACATATATTATCTTAATAAAAAGATAATATCCCATGCTATCTATGTCCATTTTCTTTTAACAACCATGAGACTAACCATTGTTCGTACATTTATAAATCAATAACTACAAACTTGCCAATAGCAGCAAATAAAGCATGTAGTGGTTCCATGGGTATATCATTGTTTGGAAGTGTCTATTAACCACGTAAAATTAAGATATGGCCATAGTGATACAACTACAAACAATCTTTCCAACCCATGAATATGATTCCATATCCAAAATCACCCCCACTATGTGATCTTCTTGTTGTTTGTTTTGTATTTACCTACAAGTAGAACATCAACAATAAAAACCTTGAACCATCTCCCATCTCCATCTTCATCCACATCCCAGTCTCCAACGACCTAATATGCTTTCATATGACCAAACAAGATCTAAAACATATATTATCTTAATAAAAAGATAATATCCCATGCTATCTATGTCCATTTTCTTTTAACACCCATGAGACTAACCATTGTTCGTACATTTATAAATCAATAACTACAGACTTGCCAATAGCAGCAAATAAAGCATGTAGTGGTTCCATGGGTATATCATTGTTTGGAAGTGTCTATTAACCACGTAAAATTAAGATATGGCCATAGTGATACAACTACAAACAATCTTTCCAACCCATGAATATGATTCCATATCCAAAATCACCCCCACTATGTGATCTTCTTGTTGTTTGTTTTGTATTTACCTACAAGTAGAACATCAACAATAAAAACCTTGAACCATCTCCCATCTCCATCTTCATCCACATCCCAGTCTCCATCTATCTCCCCCTCGTAACCGCTTACCATTGTTGTTGTTGAAAAAAAAACCTTGAACCAAGAGAAGAAAAGAAACAAATCCTTCCTGATTTGGAAGTGGTTCCATTTCACAGTGGAGGCTGCAGGGAAAATTGATGTAAAAATCGATGTCGCCAAGGCTCAGGAGGAATGGAAAATTGAGCGGATGTAAAAAACAATTTGAATAGAGGATGGTTAAGAACCCTAGAGAGCTTTTGTCGCTTATATTTTTTTAAATATGTTAAACTTCGATGGTATTTTTTAGATGTTTTTAAACATTCTTACCCTTATAAATCATTTTCCCTTTCATATCTATTTCTATTTCTTTTATCCATTTTTAAGTTAATTATAGAAAAATAAGAAAAATGTCAACCTCGATCCCAACCCCCACCCTTCTTCTCCCATTCTTTCTTTCATCTCATATGCTTCTCCTCTGTACATGACCACCATCGTCAGAGATCTCAGCCTTAATTTGATCATATAAAAATATCCATTGATTACATTTTTAAGTCGATTAACCATTAACGTCCCAAATCAACTATAAAGCTCAAGCTTAAGTTTCTAGTTAGTTTTACTACAAATAGTGGCGATCGAACAAACACATAAAAAAGTAGCAATAACAACGCCAGTTCCGATCGCCACCAATGGTCATATTTCCTAGGTGAGCCTACATAACCCTGGATAGGTGAGACCTGTGGGGGAGGCCGCTCCGAAGTGTAGTTTGGGTGAAACCCGTGGGTGAGGCCCGTGTACCTATAGCACTAGGTGGGACATGGTAGTTACCTTAGGGTCAAGGTAAGGGATCGAGGATCCCAGACCTTTTAGAGCCAGAGTGGCTAGGTAAGTAGAGTAGTTTAGGTAGTCGTGGTATCTTTTGAAGTCGCTGAGAGCAACTGAGGGATTGTTCTTGCATTCAGTCACTGGTGAGGGACCGATATTTTGGAAATGGCAGATTAGTTGGGACCGGGGTGGTCTTGGTTCACTCGGAAGGCGGATGAGTGTTAGCAGGATTTCAGGCAGGAATGGTGATAAGGGAATTAGTGCGTAGAGCACTGAGCCGATTAGGAAATGCTAAGCCACTCACGACGGGATTATATAATCTCAGAGTGATTGATTTAATGTTGTTACGTAGCACTTGTCTTAGTCTTAACCGTTACAGAGAGGAATCTTTTACTCGAAGGATTATCTGATTCACAAGCCATGTGGGATTTTCAGCTTGGGAGCATAGTAAGTGAAATTATTCAGTAAGTATTGGTATGGTGGCTGGGATTGCTATGTCAGCAGAAGGTTTGATATTGATGGAAAGGATGTTGCCTATGGCGAGTTGCCTTGGGAAGCCAGTGCCAACGCAGGGTAAAGGGGTGAACCTCTTGGTTGTCAAGTGTAAGTGCTCGGAAAGTACCAGAAGGAGTACCAGTTGACTAAGAGTGTTGTACTCAAGAGTTGTAGTGTTTGGATTGTTCTCAAGATGATATTTTTCAAGGATTGGGCCGAGCAGGAAAGGTATGCGACGATTAGAAATGTCGTGGGAGGTTGTTGGGTTGTTAGCCCGAAGCAAACTTCGAGGATGAAGTCTAGTTTAAGTAGGGGAGAGTTGTAACACCTCGAATCCAGAAGACCTAGAAAGGAAAGGAAAACCTCAAAATCAGGAAGCAACTCGTCGAGTAGGTATGGTGACTCAACGAGTAGGAGCGCATTCCGTGTCGCGGGTTAAGTGACCTACTCGACGAGTCGGATGATTGACTCGGCAAGTTGGTTAGGGTTTGGGAAACCCTAAATTTGGGAATTGGCACCCTATTTAAGCATCTTATTCTCCTCTTCTTGGTTCCATTCCCAGCATCCATTGTCCAGAACTTAACCCACGAAACCCTAGATCATTTGGTGAGTGTGTGAGCCGTTCTTGAGTGTTTTGGTGTTCTTCGAGGCTAGAAGAAGAAGAGAAAACTTGAAGGCTCAAGGAAAGGCTTATGGATCCAGCTTCTCAATCTTATCATTTTCTGGTAATCAAGTCTCTAACTTGATCATTAGTTCTTTAGATCTGTTCTTTTCCCCTTTTTATGAAGATTTTGGTCCAAGAATGGTTGCTTTTGGGATTTGGACGTGCCCAAGCAAGATCCTTTCAGGTCTGGAAGTATTTAGGGTGGTTAAGGCATAAAGGTGCAAACTTTATGCCATTGGAACTCCCCATGCAAAGTTTAAGAGGTTGTTATGGCCTTTTGAGCAAAAAAAGGCCATGCATGGATGTAAAGGTAGAGGCTTTGCGTGTTATTTCGACCCTAGAAGGTTAGATCTGGGTCTTGAATGCTTTGTGTCTGACTAAAATCGTCTGAATAGATTTGGACTTAGGAGGAATCAACGAGTTGCTCTTTGGACTCGGCGATTGAGGTCGTTTTCTTGCCCAAAACCTTACTGATAGCGGGTGTGTGTTGAGTTGGTAGAGGACTCGACCAATTGGGTTCATTATGGACTTGAAGATCATCGTAGTTGATGAGTTCAAGGATGAACTCGGCGAGTCAAAGGAAATATCCATAACTTATAAAGATGGACTCGACGAGTTTAAAGGTGGAATCGGTGAGTCAGTTGAACAAGGGTCCCGATGTGTTTGAAGGTGAACTCGACGAGCACAAGGAAGACTCGACGAGTAGGATCGAAGTCTAGAGTTTCGTGTGGATTATAGGACTCGACGAGTTGGTGGGTCAACTCGGCGAGTTGAGTCAACTCGGAGCGTTGACTTTGACCAAGTTTGACCTGGTTTGGTTTTTGAGGGTATTGTAGTCTAAATGTCATTTTGGGTATTGATAGTTCGGGGAGCCGAAGGATCAGCAATTCAGGATTTGTCGGTTAGCAGTCAGAAGTGTTCAACTAGTCTCCAGCGGTG